AGGCTATTAATTCTACTCAAGTAGACCCCTCTCCTAAATTATCTTCCTCTAAGAGACAAGCTCCTCCCAAACCAGAAGCAATTTCACCTGAAGCTGATAATCAGGTTGAACATTTTGCCATTCAAGAATTGGAAGCATCTCATGACGCACCAGCACCTCCAGAGGGTACCAAGTATCCTGATCTTGGTCATGGTTCTTCGTCTTCTGGTACGCCACCAGAGACCCAAAGACACCAATCAAGTCAAGTGTTCTCATGTGACCCAGTCAGGGGAGGTAACCAACTAGCCATGGATGAAACTATAAACTATTAACTTGACTTTTTTAATTCTCAAGTAGTCTATTAAATTCTCAAAATATTATTTTAGTATTGTTGTAGCTGCTGTCCCAGTCTATTTATCTCTTTCCCTCTCTTTTTATTCTTTCTTTCTTTTTTCCCCTGCACTGCTGCCTATTTGACTAAATAATAATATGATATAATTATTATTTTTACTTGTTTTGCTGCTTTGATAAATTATAATAATATTTAAAGCATTTTAGATAATTATGTGCAAACAGCAAAAAGAGCTTAGACTTTTAAAATTGTTATATTTGTCAATGAATTTACATATCATTTAATCTAAGAAAATTATAATTATAATTTTAATACAGTTTACTCTTCAATGCAATCCTACAATTACTGGTCATTTATTGATCACTGACATTAGTACTGATGATACTGACATTACTATTAGCCTACCTTCTCCTATTACTGATTTTGTCATCAATGGAGCTACTCCTGGTTCAACATACACTGTACAAGTGGCTGCCAGTAATCCTATTGGACTTGGACCATTCACTACTACTGCTTTTGGTTAGGAAGTAATTGATTTTATTAATTTATTTTATTTTTGCTGCAGAGATATATTCAATGGAAACGTCAAATTTTGGTAAGCTTAGTTTTACAATATTTAATATTATTGCTCTTTTTTATTTATATAGTTACAGTGTCACCAACATGTACTCCAACAGGACATACTAGTCAATTCATTACTTTGAAAATTCCCTCCTAGCAACTTTTACATACTGCATACACTATAATAGCTTTGGCAAAATTTTTAAGCAGCTTTAAAAAATTGAAAAAAATCTAAATTTAATCAAAATCAGCTCTAAGTTGATAAATAACATAAAAAATATGTATATCTATTAGAAAAAATTATAAAAGTGGAAAATTCTCTCCTAGTCATTTTTGATGAAATTTAGCGAATGACCAAAGCTATAGCCTTTTGGCTGAATTTTAGAGTAACTTCAAAAATTTATAAAAAATCGAATTTTGATCAAAATCAGCTCAAACTTGAAAAATAACATAAAAACATGTTTATCTATTAGAAAAAATTATAAAAATGGAGAATTCTTTCCTAGTCATTTTTGGTGAAATTTGGCCAATGACCCTGTACTACAGTATAGTAAGGCTGCAAAAGTCGTGGCAGCCATTTTGAAGTGGGGTGAATCCTACTTAGTAACGCTACCACGTTACTAATAGTACAGGGACTTTGACCCGATTTTCAAGCAACTTTAAAAAAATTTTAAATTCAATTTTGATCAGAATCAGCTCAAACTTGAAAAATAACATAAGGACATGTATATGTATCAGATAAAATTATAAAAGAGAAAAATTCTCTC